ACTCTGGGTCTGGTGATTCCCAAGTTTAACACTTAGGGATGGGTGATCAGGGTTTAGTCCTTGAGGAACTGGTTTATGCTAACCAAACCCAAATCTCTGCAATGCAGTGTAAATAGGTGAAGTGGCCTGGTGGAGAGACAGCCAATCAATAATGGAGACAGTGCCAGTGGCCAGCGAGTGGTGGCCAGCAAGTGGCAGCCACTGCTTGGCTCTGGGATTGGGTGCCAGGGGCATGCAGGTGCCTAGTGGCAAGGTCTGCCCAATTTTCAAGAGAAGCCAGAAAGCCAGATTTTTTAAAGTTTTTTTTTTTTAAACTCTAATTTGAAAAAAGTTTTTTTTTTTTGTCTTTTTCGTGACCGGTAAGGGGATCGCAACCCTTGGTGTGGTGTCACCCACACCACGCTCAGCCAGTGAGCGCCCCAGCCATTCCTGTATAGGATCCGAACCTGCGGTGGGAGCGTCGCTGCACTCCCAGCGCCGCACTCTCCCGAGTGCGCCACGGGCTCGGCCCTTGAAAAAAGTTTAGTGTTACAGAAAATTTGCAGAGATCATACAGAGTTCCCGTATACTCTTTACCCAGCTTCCCCTAATATTAACATCTTCCACAAATGAACACTGGTACAATACTATTAACTAGACTAAATGGATGTTCGGAATCCACCAGTTTTTCCACTACTGTCTTTCTGTTTCAGGATCCAATCCAGGATCCCATGCTGCATATAGTTATGTTTCCAGTCTCCTTGTTTGTGAGACTTTCTCAGTCAGAAAGCTAGAGTTTTTACATGACCTCTCCTAAGTTATCCCAGTCTAGAGTAATAATTTGGAAATCACACATTCTATTGATGGTACTTTAGTGATTATCTTTGAATTTTTTCCATGTATATTTGACTGAACTGTTGTCTAAAGTTAATCAGCATCTCTAGCCATCTTCTGAAAAATAAAAGGACTTGAGCAATTGCATGCTGGTCATTCCCCCTCATCTTCCACATTATTGTTTGGAAGTTTTGCCATTTTATTTTATATTTCAACTTAAATTATTTTTAGAAGAGGTAACATTCCTGTAGTTCAAAATTTAAAAGGTAGAAAAGCTACCAGTGAAAAAGTTTCTCTCGCATAGTGACGCAGACACTTAGCACCCAGTCCCCTCCCCAGAGGCAACCAGTGTCCCTAGTTTCTTGTGTAGCCTTCCAGAGCTGTCTTACACATCTATAAGCAAATACAGCTTCAGTGTATCTTTTTAGTTCTTCCCTTCATTCTGTAAATTGTTCTCTTCACTTAAAATCTTAGAGGTACTTCCATATCAGTCCACTAACAACTTTATTCCTGTCTGTGGCCACATAGAATTCCATGTTTCCATATCATAATTTATTTAATAAGTCCCCTGTTAATGGACATTTAGCTTGTTCCCTGCCTCTTACTAGTCAAGTAATACTGTAATGATAACTTTGTACTAATACTTTATCAGTTTGCTTATGTGGATGTATAGCTGTAGGATACAACTTAGAAGTGGTATTTCTGAGTCAAAATGTGTGTGTACTTGTAATTTAGATAGATTGGCTAAATTATGCTCTACAGAGGTTGTACAATTTACCTTTCTATCAGGTATGTGTGAGAAAATGTTTACCCACATACCCACATGCTCAGCAGAAATGTGTTAGCATCTGTTTTAATCTGATTGTAAAAAGGTACTTTGGTGTTGTTTTAATTTGCATTTCTCTTTTTATGAGTGACGTTGAACATCTTTTCATATGTTTAAGAACCAAATGTATACTCTTTCTGTGAACTGTCTTTTCATATGAGGGGTCCATTTTTCTATTTGGTTGCTAGTCTTTTCTTATTAATTTTTCTGAACTATTTTAGGGAAGTTTTATGAGAGTTGCAAATATTTTTCTCAGTTTAATGTCTTTTTTTTTCCTTATGTTTTTTTTTTGTTTGTTTGTTTTTTAAAAGATGACTGGTAAGGGGATCTTAACCCTTGACTTGGTGTTGTCAGCACCATGCTCTCCCAAGAGAGCTAACCGGCCATCCCTATATGGGATCTGAACCCGTGGCCTTGGTGTTCTCAGCACTACACTCTCCCAAGTGAGCCATGGGCCAGCCCTACCATGTAGATAGTTTAAATTTAGGGGCCGGCCCGGTGGCGCATGCTACGGTGCGCCGCTTGGGAGTGCAGCGGCGCTCCCGCCAAGGGTTCGGATCCCACATACAGACCGGTTCCTGCTCTCTGGCTGAGCGAGGTGCGGGCGCAGCACCGAGGGTTGCGATCCCGTTGCCGGTCCCGGTCCAGTACGGGCGCGACACTGAGGGTTGCGATCCGTTGCCGGACACACACACACACAAAAAAGAGAGATAAATTTTTATGTAATCAAACTATTCATCTTTTTTCCATAATTTTTTTTTTGGCAGCTGGTCATTAAGGGGATCCTCCATAATTTAACCCATAAAGTTTTATGGGTTTAGTGTCATGCTTAGTTCTTCCCCAACTCAAGACTATTTTTATATATATCATCACATGGTTTCTTGCAGTTTATTGTATTTTTGTTTTAACTTTAAAAATCTTTGATTTGTGGGCTGGCCTGTGGCTCACTTGGGAGAGTGTGGTGCTGACAATACCAAGTTAAGGGTTAAGATCCCCTTACTGGTCATCTTTCTTTAAAAAAAAAATCTTTGATTCATTTGGACCTTGTCTTGGTATAAGATGTGAGTCAGGAATCCAGCTTAATTTTTCCAGATGGCTACTCAGTTGTCCCAGTGCCATTTATTGAAAAATTCATCTTTTCCCTTTGATTTGAAGTGCTGCCTTTATAACATATTAAATTTGCATGTGTGTTTTCATCTATTTATGGACTCTGTATTCTCTCATTGATTCTCTATTCATGTGTCAGTACCACACTCTTTTAATTTTTATAGCTTTACCATAATTCTTTTTATTCTTCTCCAGCTAATTCCCTATCTTGTTTGCCAATGTGCCTGCACACAGCTTCTTTGCTTTTTTCAAGTCCCACCTTTTACTCTCAGTGGATGACTATTCCCTCCTACTTTAAGGAGTAAGGCCATTCCGTACACACTTTACCCCACCCCGCCCCACACACTGCTGTGCTGTGATACTATTTGCATTTTTTTATCCTGTGTTATTGAATTATTTCCCTTCCTTCAGTCATCCTGCCACAGCCTGCATCTTTAGGTTGTCTTTCTCCGCTGACCTCTCCTCTATTCACAGCTTACTCGAATGTCCTCTATTCCAGAAAGCCTCTTCCTGGCTTTGCTACTTTCTCAAGGTAGCATCCTCTTGCACATTTTCCAGACATGTTTGCACCCAAATTAATCTCCATGCACTGTCCCAGCTTCCTTTCTACCGCTTATTCTTCAGAGCCCAGGTTTTCCTTTCAACCACTTGACTAAAACTTGTCTCACAGGGTCATTGATGACCTCATAGTCACCAAATCCAGCAACTATGTGTCGGTTTATTACCGTGAACCTCTGCAGCATTTGAGAAGCTTGATCTCTCCCCCTTGAACCAGCCTTTCCCTTGGTTCTGAGATGCCTGGCTGTCCTTGGTCTCTCCTGCTCTGACCACTGACTTGTCATCTGCTCCAGTGCCACTTCCTTTCCCTCCCTTGACACGTTGTACTCTCCTTTGGTGAACTGCATCCCTTCCTGTGGCTGTTACATCAACAAAAATGCCTCCTAAATCTACGTGTTCCCAACTCCTCAGCTCTCTACCTCTTAGACTCTAGGGCTAAATTTCCAAACTGCCTTTAGGAGAAGTCCTGGTGGAGAGGAATGGGTAGAGTTAAGATGTGTTCAGAGGGAACGTTCTGCTACCAGTTGGAAGCTGCTTTGCTGTGGAGCATGGTTCTCCAGCTTGGCTGCACATTACAATCACCAGGGGAATTAAAAAGTAAAAGTCCCAATGCCTAAACTGTTTCCTAAACCAATCAGATGAGAACCTCTGGGGATGGGTCCAAACATCATATTTTTAAAATGCTCCAGTGGTGCCAGTGTACAGCCAAGTTGGCAGGCCTAGAGCAGGGTGAGAAAAAGGGAGGAGGCTCAGATCACTCCCAGGCTCTGGCTTCAATAAATGGGGAGGTGGGTGTGTAGGTCACTAAAGGAGGGATTACCAGAGGAAGGGTGGGCTTGGGGGAAGATGGTACATTCTGTTTGGATAGGTTAAGTTTGAGCTGCCTGTGGGGTATCCAAGAGAAGGAGTCCCACAGATGCTTAAGTCTCCCTAAAGCAGATCTTTCTTCTCCTAATCCTTCCACAAGCCTGCACTGCTGCAGGCATCCCCCCACTCTTCCCCACTGGGAGGACTCTCTCTCCCACAGCACCTCCAACTGTGGCATTTCTGGAAAATATTTGTTTTGCTGAGGGTTGGAACTGCCTCCTCCTAGGTGATTTGGGGTCACCACACAGTAACCTACATTGGAAAGGTCCCATCTTTCCAAGATCCAAGAGGACACAACACATCCCTCCTTGCCTGATGGCTCTGCCATTGAGAGTCTAGCTGCGAATCTGCTGTCATCATGAGCTGATCAGTTTTTTCCACCCCCAAACACAAGAAGGGCGGGACCCACCTGAGTGCTGGCAAGGACAGGGTGGGGGAGGTTGGGAGATATGATGCATATCATGATCTCCTGGGGTATGGAGAGTTGGGGAAAAGTCCCTCAAGTCATTGTGACATGGCTCTTAGAGACTCAGAGAGACTTAAAGAGCAGGATGCAGCACATGAGACAGGGAAAGGTGGCACAGTGGTGTGTCACTCTGTCTGGTTAATGGTGACTGCTCTGAACCCCACAAACCTGCCATAAAAGCCATGTGGGCAGGGGTGGGAGGGCAAGTGACTTGCGATGCAAGGAGTGGGGACCATGGCATGGCACCACAGGGACTGAAGAGGGAGCAGGAGCAGAGCTCCCTCTGTGATGGCGGCCCTCCAGCATGCCCAATTCCCGCCAACCAGTCTCCCTCAACTTCCTCCTGTCTTTTGCTCTGCCCAGGCTGACAGGAACTGCCCTGTAGAGGTCCATCTGCGTTCAGACCCAGATGATGCCAGAGCTATGACCGGGCCTGCAGGCGTGGTACCGAGGGGAGATCAGCCATGGAGCAGCCACAGGAGGAGACCCCTGAGGTCCGGGAAGAGGAGGAGAAAGAGGAAGTGGCAGAGGCAGAAGGAGCCCCAGAGCTCAATGGGGGACCAGAGCCTGCACTTCCTTCTAGCAGCTACACAGGTGAGGAGGGGGCTGGCAGGGAACACAGGGCAGATTAAGCAGAGCCGGTGGGGAGCAGGGATCCTGGCCCTCTCTGAACAGTGTCATATGGGGTGCAGAGGAGCAGAATGGTTAGGACTGGAGCCAGACGGCCTGGGTGCACACCCCTGCTTCACCGCTCACCAGCTGCAGGACCTTGAGTAGGTCACACCACTTCTTTCTGTAAAACAGACTGTGATGGAAGTGATGTGGACATGGGCTTTTGTAAGAATTAAATAAGTGGACATTTGTAACACATGTCATCATCATTGTTATTATTACCACCACTGCTACTGAAGGTATCCAGGACCAATCTGCTTTGACAGCACACTAGAAAGATCAACTGTACCTGTGATTGCTATGATCCGTTGAAGCATACAACTCAGTTGATCTGGTGCTAGATATATATGTCATCATTGAGCTGCATTGCAATTGGACATAAATGCTAAGCAGTTAGAATGAATGACTATAGGGCCGGCCCCATGGCGCAGTTTGGAGAGTGTGGCGCTGGGAGCGCAGCAACGCTCCCGCCACGGGTTCGGATCCTATATAGGAGTGGCCAGTGCGCTCACTGGCTGAGTGTGGTGCGGGCGACAGCACACCAAGGGTTGCGATCCCCTTACCGGTCACGAAAAAGACAAAAAAAAAAAAAAAAAAAGAATGAATGACTATAATTAATGTTACTTTTGTGCAGCCAAATGGTTTTTAGCTTCTCTTGTCTGACTTGGTGTTCTCATTTACTTTATTTATCCACCGTTAGCAGCACTATAGACATTTCCTTCTGGTCTGTGATCGCCTTCATCGTCATGTTATGTCCACCTTTAAGGGCACCCAGAATCCACCACTCAGCCCCTGGCTTTCCTTGCAGCTGATGCTGCCCCTTCCCCATCTGCTCCTCCCCCCCAGCCTCTCTCCTTCTCCCTTTGTCCTCACCTGAGTGCCTCAGAGCCAGCACCTCCAGCTGATCCTCGCTCCCTTCCCTCAGAAGGAACTCCGAGTCATGAGAGGATATACTGTCAGAGGAGACATCCTCATCTTGCTGCTGGTTTCAGCTGAAGGAGATCCTGGCCACAGGTGGTGATTCAGGGCAGAGGTGCAGGCCTGCCCACTGGGGTGGTCTCTGGACCTCTGTGTCTGCATGGGACAGAATAAAGCAGATGGCGGGCTCCTGCCTGGGCGTTCAGCTAAGAGGGGCCTGAATGAATCCTTGAGCAACCCCACCTTGAACCTGCAAAGCAAGGTTCTTCCTCCTCAGGGGACAGGGTGGCATGGTGTGAGGGGAAAGCCATCCATCCAGTCCTTCTGATGCCACCCAGACACCTGGGAGTGAGCAAACTAGACTTGGTGTGATTTTGAAGTCAAAGAGAAGGTGTCGCTCATCCCCAGAGTAACCTGCTCCCTGTTTGTTGGCTGGTGGCTGGGATGGCTTTGGAGGCACAGCCTTTCTCAGAAGAGAGGAGTGGATACCAAAGGTGAAAATTTGCTCAGCATTAAGATTACATGCTGTTTTGAACATGAGAAAAGGAAGGAGGGTTAGAAAGCAGAGGGAAGACATGGGGGCTAAGAATGAGCGAGGGATGTCACACGGATACCAAGGAAGAGTGAGAGGGGAAGAGGAGGCCACAGGGTCTGTGACCTCGCCACCTGCCCTGGCTAACCTCATCTGGGTTGAGGCAGACAGAAGTTACCTGCAGCGTAACACCCTGTCCTGGATGTTACTCAGCAGGTAACAAGAGGCCTACACCTCTTGTTGGGACTAATGCAACATTCCCAGGAATATTGCTGTTCACAAGTAGGCCCAGGAGAGATTCCTGGGAGCAGAGGCAGGGCGAGGCGGGCATGGCGATGACACCCCAGGCAGCCTTACTGATGGGATGGAGGGTACGGGGGACGTGTCTGGGGCAGGAGTTTGTCTAGCCACACACAGTGCTGTCTGTGAGGTGGTGTTTAATAGGTTGCGTTTATCAATAAGTGGAAGAGGTGGAGATAGAAGGACTTCCTTGTTCAGTAATTGAAACAGGAGGAAGCTGTTCAACATAATCACTGTATGTTAAAGCCACAGTATATAAAAAGTGCCCACATTTTCTACAGGACCACCTAACAGAAAAATTGAAACAGGCAGGGCAGATCACAGTGGGGCAAATGCAAATGGCCAGAAAACATGAAACGTTTTTCTGTCTAACCAGCAATCAAAGAGGGCCTCTTATGTTGGAATGCCATTTAGCCTGTCAGATTGGCAGAGAGGAGCATGTGGTCAGTGTTGGCCAGGGGGTGAGGAAATGGCCCGCCAGCCCCAAGTGTGGAAGGGCAGTGTGGCAGTGCAGGCCAACGCCTTGTACACTGCAGCTCCACTTCTAGGAATGTGTCCTCTGTAGCTGCTTGCCCAGCATGCACAGACATTTCCACACCAGCTTATTTACTGCAGGATTGCTCATCAGAGCAAAAAATAGGAAAGCTCCCATATGTGGGGAATTGGTTATGTAAACTGTGGTAGAGCCATAGTTATTAAAGAAGATGAGGTTGGTCTGTATATACTAAATAAGTTCCTGACAAATTGGGGATCCCACTATTTAAAAATCCTCATGTATCACAGAAGGCAGTAGAAGAGTATATGCCAAAGGACTAGAGGGGCTAACTCTGAGGGACAGGCTCCTGGATGGGAATGGTCTGTCATAGGTGCTGAGCACCCTTATGTGCAAGCTTGCACTACTTTCTAAATTTGAAAAGCAATTGTGGACTGACCAGTTAGCTCAGTTGGTTAGAGTGTGGTGCTGATAACACCAAGGTCCAGGGTTTGATTCCTGTACCAGCCAGCAGCCAAATAAAATAAAATAGAAAGCAATTGCACTGCTTTTCTTTAAAAGGTTAAAAGAAATGAATTAAGTAAAGGGGGTGGGGGCTGGCAGATGAGGGGCCCTGGAGACAGAGCCTCATCCGGTGTTGGGATCAGAAGGGCTTTGAGATCACACAACCCAGGGCAGGAAGCCTAGTCTGCCCTTGCTGGTGCCTTCACCTCTACGAGTCTCAGTGGCTTCCCCTTTAGAGGCTCGTTCTGCTCAGTTTGAGGGCTGGCCAGGTGAGAGTAAATGGTAGTATCCGACATACCATAGGTCTCAGCACCTACTGGTTCCCTTCCCCGCCCCCATGAGTCTATGACTTTGGCCTTCAGAGTCCCCTCAGAGCCTTGAGCCCTGAAACAGCAGGAAACTGCGCGGTTTGCTTCCCCTGTGACCCTCCAGAGATTCTGCACTGACTCTCTATGCATCTCTGTACCGAGGGGGACACCTGCTAGGTGCCTCCTCCTCACACACAATCCCCCCTCTTGCCATGAGACAGGCAGGGCAGGCCTCACCATTAGCACTCAGCAACGAGGAAACTGAGGTTATATGAAACTCACTTGCTCAGGGTCGCCCCACTGGGTAGGGGTGGGGGCAGCTGGATCCAGTGCTCACACCCCATTCCCATCCTCATCCCCTCCTGCTTCAATGATATCCAACCAAATCACACCTGAGAAAGAGGAGGATAAAGTGTCCTTCCTCCTGGCCTTGGTGCCTCCTGTCACTCACCCAGTACTTAGTGAGCATCCAGGCTGGGCCAGGCACTGTCCAGGGACAGTCCATTCAGTGGTCAGCAAGACTGATGCCTGCCCCGAGGAGCCCACAGTCCAAGCAAACAGGACAATGGAAGTAAGAAGGCTGCTTGGCAACCCAGCCCCAGATTCCTGCAGAGTTTGCCCTGACTTCAGAAGCTAAAGGGTGCCTGTTTGCCTGTGGGCTTTTCCATCAAAGTAAATAGACTGGGCTGAGCCCTCCTGGCTGCCTCGCAAATATGACAACAGCATACCTCCAGCGATGGAGGCGAGATATGCAGGAGAGCTCTGAACCACACATAGATTACGTAAATAAGGTCAATAGTGTCTGTTTGCTGAACTTGTAATCAAAGATGGTGAAACTGATACTTCACTCTCTGGATGATGGGGCTAGGGTTTACAATGAATTCAAACATTTGGATAATGACATAGTGTCATCCTCAGCAGTGACTGTGTCTTGTTGTTTATCATAAGAACATTATTGATTAGTGGTAATGGACATGTATATATACAAGGGTATTTCTGTGAACTTTTCGAAGTACCCTTGCATGCATGGTAGTAGAGTGTGGTGCTGACACTCAGCTTTAGGAGTTGGAAGGTTCTGGGTTATAATTCTCATTCTAACACTGTATTAGTCAGGGTTTTCCAGGGAAACAGAACCAATAGGTGTGTGTGTGGAGAGAGAGAGAGATTTTAAGGAATTGGCTCACACAATTGTTGGGGCAGCAAGTCCAAATTCTGCAGGGCAGGCCAACAGGCTGGAGACCAGGGAAGCTGATGTTGCAGCTCAAGTACAGAGGCAGTCTGCAGACAGAATTCCCTCGTCCTCTGAGCAGGGTGGGGGAGGCTCGTTCTTTTTCTTCTGGCCTTCAGTTGATTTATGATGCCCACTCATATCATGGAGCGTAATCTGCTTTAATCAAAGTCTATTGATTTAAATGTTAATCACATCTGAAAAATACCTTCATAGCAACATCCAAGCTGGTGTTTGGCAAAAAACTGTGTACCATCGCTAGCCAAGTTGACACAAAACCATCACAGCCACTGTCAGCAAGTTACTAAACCTGAGCCTTAGTTTCCTCACTTATAAAGTAGGGGTAAGAAGACCTACTTGAACAGTTGTTTTCAGGTTTACATGAGATTAATGGGTGTAAAGTGCCAAGTAGAATGCCTGGCACACAGTAGGTGTGCAATAAAAAGAAGGTATTAGTGGTACAAACGCACAGCCTTTACAGGGAAGTCACTTTTAGCTTCAAGTCCCAGTCCCACCTTGTGTGATGCAGTTGACCTTGGGTGGATTCCTTAACCTCACTGAGCCTCAGTTTCCTTCAAATGGTCTTCCAGGGTGATAATGAAATGATATAAGTACAAAAACACTATATGCTTGGCGCTTTGTATGGACCTGACGAATGGGAGATGTTTGGAAGGTTGGGCAGGCCAGGCAGGGTGTGGCTTAAGAAGACATTCAGAAGTGGGGCTCAGGGCCTAGGTGATGGGCCCATCAGGTGAGCAAGTACATTTCTGAGAGCATGGACGGGAGGCTGAGGGAGGCAGGGACAGGGTTAGAGAGAAAATCTGGCACTGGGCTGGCAGGGCCTCTCAGAACCCTAGCCTCCCATTTGGAGATGCTTGGTTGCCCCCACCTCTGACTGGGAGGTCATGGGGGTGGGGGTGACGGAACCTTCAGAACCTGGTCCCTAGAATGGGAAGCATTCTGCCATCATTACTTTTGAGTAGGATGTGATGGTGATTTGGGGATTAAACCTTAAGCCAGGTGACCAACCAGGAAGAAACAGAACCTTTATCTTTGGAAAGTCCACCACCAAACTACCACCACTTCAGTTCCCCCAATATACACTCACCCCACAATAAAACCTCCCACATAGGACGCATGCACTCCCACTCCAGCCCCTCCCCTCTTCTCCCCTGCCTCTCTCTGCCTGTGCCAGTTATTCCTGGTCCCTTTTTTCCCTCAAATAGGCAGCAGGCGCACTTGCCCCATTTCCCTGCTGTCTCCATCCTCACTGAGGCCTCCCTGACTCTGTGAGGCAGCTTACACTTGCTTACCACCTGCAGCAGCCGGACTCTCGGGGCCCCTCACTGCCCTGGGCTAGTTTCTTCCCAGTACACTTAGGAGCAGCTGATTACCAACTGGGACCCCTCTGGGACACTCGCTCTGCATCTCTCCTCACAGTCCAGAGCTCTGGGTACCTCAAGTGGCTGGTGGGGTTTGAGCATCTTGGCTCCTTCCAGGAGACGCAAGAGGACAGAGAGTAGTACTTGTCCCAGGGGCTCTCCTGGCCTCATATGCAGAGAACCCCCACCTTGGGTTTCTGTGAGGCTGTCGGGAAGAGGGATGAAGAACTGAAGAAGGAAGAGGCTGGTCCCTGCCTGTGTGGGGCACACAGCTAGGAGACTGCAGAATTGTGGCTTTCTGATAAGCACGATCCTGATAACTGATATTTATACAGCACTTCCAAGTTCTAAGTGCTTTCTCTATATTAACTCCTTTACTCCTCACTGTGACTCTCTGAGATACCGTTTTCTCCATTTTACAGAGGAAGAAACTGAGGCTTAAAGAGCCAGGGCAGGAATTTGAGCCCAGGATACTGGGCTCTTGCCCCAGGACCACTAGCTAGGAGTGGTGGAGCTGGGATTTGAACTCGGGCCTCATGGCCCCTGACTCGTGTCCCTACCCACTATGCCTGCTGTTTCTGTGCACCTGGAGGCTGACTTGGAGGTCGTTCAGAGTCCTCACTTTGAGCCAGCTGGGGGAGCTGTCACCTCCCTAACAGTCCCGTGCACAGGGATGGCTCCTAAGACCCTGCACCACTCCCGTGCCCCTCACCTGGCGTTGCCACCCTCCGTCTTGTGTTCGTGTTCTTACCTTTCTTACCTCTGCTGTTTAAGGGCAAGGTCTGGTCCTGCTCCGCACACAGCAGGTGCTCATCAAATGTGTGTTGAATGAACAGAGAGGGTGGTATTGCCTCATGTTGCACCATCACCAACCAAATGACCACACACCGAGGGAGATGAGGAAGGCACCAGCAGGAGCAGTGAATAATCTGAAGTGATTGGTCACTGTGGACAAGACACAGTAGTGGCGGTGGGCTCTGAGACTCAAAGCAACGTGTTGAGATGTGCCATGTCTAGCAGAGGAGGCAGATGTGCAAGCCACAAAAGCACCACTGGCTACCAGAAGTGCCATAGGGTGGGGCTGGCCCATGGCTCACTTGGGAGAGTGTGGTGCTGATAACACTAAGGCCACAAGTTCGGATCCCTATATAGGGATGGCCGGTTAGCTCACTTGGGAGAGCATGGTGCTGACAACACCAAGTCAAGGGTTAAGATCCCCTTACCAGTCATCTTTATTAAAAAAAATAATAATAATAAAGTGCCACAGGGTGAACGTGCGCACAGATGCACACCTCAGAGGAGGAAGTGCCAGTGCCCGCCTGCCACACCATCTGCGCACATCTCCACAAAGGGTGATTGTTACATGTTGTCTCATTTTCTGCCAGTGACTGGCCCTGTCAGTTTTATTGTCCCTGTTATGATGCCTCCATCAGTGGCAGGTCATGCCCAGCCCCACCAGCCAGTTGGTGCTGAAGCCAGGACACCCAGGCAGCTGAGGACTGCTGACTCCCCAGACAGCCATTGGGTGCCTGCTATGTGTCTAGCATCCCACACAGTTCTCAGTGCCGGACCACAGCAGTGCCCTGGTGGACAGAGTTCCTGCCCTTGTGGCCCTTATGTCTAATAGGCAGCACCCAACAATGAACAAACACACATAGAGTACGTCAGGGTGTGGCAAAAGCTATTGAGAAGACCAAAGCAGCTTCATCTTCCCAGAGCACAACTTTCCCCTCCCAGGCTGCAGCCTCCTGCAGCACCTTGCCCCGGAGATCAAGGGAGCCCACTCTTCCCATCTAAGGGGTCAGTTACGCCCCTTAAAATGGCTGAAGCTGGGGGCTGAGGTGCTAGGCCATTTTAGGAACCAGGGACTTGTGTCACCCCTAAACCTCACCAGCCAGGAGGTGAGCAGACAGCCTGGTCACCTCTGCCTCGATCATTTGCCTCCTGTGCTCTCCCTCCTGAGGGCAGGAGGGAGTGGGCATGGGGAAGGAGCCTTTCTAGGACCCCAGGGAGTACTTGGGGAGTGGGGAGGAAAGCTTGAGAGGGATGGGATGTGCTTTGGTTGGTGGGAGGTGGGGAATTATTTACTGTCGTGGGGAAGTCAAGGTCACTTGGCCTGTGTTGTAGAGGCATAGTACTACAGGCCTAGAAATGTTAGTCTGGGCTCACTGCCATGGCTTGGGTCACCCTAAGGGGCCCTCCACTCTAAATGGCTGGTTCTCAGGTTTGTGGATTTGGTACCTGCCATTGAGGAGGTTGCTCAGTCATCAAAGAAGAGAGCAGAGGTTTGAAGGCTGGCATGGCAGAGGCAGGACAGGCAGGATGTGGGTCATGAAATCAGCACTGGCTGGGAATCAGGCGACTGAGGCTCCCCTTTCCAGGGGGAAGAGCACATGGCTTGAGTGTCCAAGGGAGAGATTCAGAAGAGACTCCCAGCAATTCTTACTAAGTCATCTGACAGCATGTACACCCTGAAGTCGTGGTCACAGCCAACTGTTTTCCTTGCTGACGCTCCCAAAACCATGGTTCCAACGTCTGTACGTTTAATAGACAAAACCTGGGGAAATCCGGTGTGTTGCTCAGTCAACATGAGTGGTACCTACACTTTCTACTCAAGCCGGCAGTTACGTGGGAAAGAATTTGAGCTTGAGAGGTCTTTTATGGCATCCCTGGAGCCATAATAAACTTCCTGAGGGGTGGTGGGGCTGGCACTGTGGAGGGCTGCACCTCGGCACTTTCCTTTTTTTTTTTTTTTTTAAGATGACCGGTAAGGGGATCTTAACCCTTGACTTGGTGTTGTCAGCACCACGCTCAGCCAGTGAGCGAACCGGCCATCCCTATATGGGATCCGAACCCGGGGCCTTGGTGTTATCAGCACCGCACTCTCCCGAGTGAGCCACCGGGCCGGCCCGTCGGCACTTTCCATGAAACAAATTTCGCACAACCTCTGAGCCACAAGAGTCACTTCCCAGGGACTGTCCAAAGATTGTCTGCTTCCTCTCTCTTGCTCTCCTCCTCCCAAGACACAGCCCTTCCTCGCTCCCTCTCCTCCTCCATGGTGAGTTCAGGACTGGACATTTCTGTGTGTCAGGCGCTGGAGGAAATGCTTTGGGGACTTTGCCCATCCTCCCAGAGAAGTTGTCATTAACTCCATGTTCTAGATAAAGAAACTGGTTCTCAGAAAGGTTGGCTCCCCAAGGCCACATGGCCCTCAAGTGGCCAAGGCAAGGGCAGTGGGGTCCTTCTCGCCCCCACCTCCCAGGCCTGGCGGGGTGTGAAGCCGCCTTTGGTCTGTGTCCACAGACCTCTCCCGGAGCTCCTCGCCTCCCTCGCTGCTGGACCAGCTGCAGACGGGCTATGACGGGGCCTCGTGTGGCGGCCTCAACATGGAGTGCCGGGTCTGCGGGGACAAGGCATCAGGCTTCCACTATGGTGTTCATGCGTGCGAGGGCTGCAAGGTACGGACTGTGGCGGGCAGCTGCTGGCCCTGGGCTGTGGTCACATGAAGAGCTGACCTACCACAAAGGCTTTCCCTGCTGCAGGGTGGGGCTTTGAGAGTACCCACTTGGGAGTTCCCACCTGGGAGGCAGCCAGGCCCTTGGGCCTATCCCAGGCCTCGGTGGTGAAGGGATTCCCTGGTCAGGCCTGCCCTGCTGGGCACCTGTCCTGTTGACCCAGCCTCTCACCCAGTCTCTGTGGGTGGCTGGCGCCCCCTGGGGACGAGCTCAAGAAGGCAGGCAGGACAGGGTGAAGGTCTGGGGCTAAGCTGTCTTCCTGTCCAAGGTCATGGTTTCTTGAACCTCAGTGCCTGAAGGGGGGCTCTTTGAGAAAAAAAAAGGAAACATTACATTTCTTTTTCCAGTGATGCTTTTGGGTTCCTTCTCCTAACTGCACACCCATCAAAATATCACAAATTGTTTTATTAAACAACCACCTGGAAAATATACAAGCTAGTTACATTTATGAATAAATCAACTTCGCCACAATACAACTTTTTGTTACCAAACTAACAAAGAAGCTTTAAGAACTCTTTGGGCATTTAAAGTAAATATGGTATGTGATTTTAATTCTTTCAAGTTTTAGAAGTAAGTTCAAGAGTTGTTTTTTTCCTTCTCTCTCTCCCCTCCAAACAAAAATCCCACCTGTTACTCCCAAATTTCCAGAATTTTTACATCTTTATGCATAATTGGGTTCTTTGGCGCAACCCAGTGGGATGAGCAGGACTCTCAACCCTCTCCCCTCCTGATGGCCTTTCCCCCCCTGTTCTCGGTCCCTTAGGGCTTCTTTCGCCGGACAATCCGCATGAAGCTGGAGTATGAGAAGTGTGAACGGAGCTGCAAGATCCAGAAGAAGAATCGCAACAAGTGCCAGTACTGCCGCTTCCAGAAGTGCCTGGCACTGGGCATGTCACACAATGGTGAGAGCCGGGTAGGGCACAAGGACTGCTGCCTCCACACAGCCTGAAGCCAGGTTTCAGGGAGCACCCAGTGCAACCAGAGACGGAATACCCTTAGAGCAGTGCCTGCACACAGGAAGCACCACAGAACTGTCAGCTGTTGACTGCTGATCTGGGACTTGGAGCCTAAGACCTGCTGTTCCTCTGGAAGCCCAGCATCCACCATGGGTCCTAGGCCTGGGGCAGTCACCACCTCTTTGTACCTGAGGCTCACCCTCTCTGTCTCAGAGGGAACTTAGAATCGACCCAGCTCTTACGGTGTTGGGAACACCACTCCCAAAACTTCAAGCCTGTCTCAGATGGGTGTGAAAATCTACTGCCAAGGCTTTCTGGTTATTGAGGGCAGGCAGGAGCCAGTAAGTGACCACATGTGTCAGCCGCCAGGAGCCAGGCAGGAGTTTCTTGGAGGCCAGCCACCCTGGGAGACAGAGCCTTCCCTGCCTCATGCTCCAGGCCTCCTGCAGAGTCTTGTCTTCAGACGCGTAGGGTAGGGCTATTACAAAGCCACCCACCCCCTCTCTACCTCTTTGGGTCAGACCCCCAGACAACAGAGTAGAGCCTCTTTTTTTGTTGTTGTTATTTTGTGGCTGGCTAGTACAGGGATTTCACCCTGGACCTTGGTGTTATCAGCACAACACTCTAACCAACTGAGCTAACCAGCTAGTCCAAGAGACTCTTATTTAAATGTCTTCATGGGTGGGTCAGCTGCTTGGCCAGCTTTTACCCATGATGCCCTAACTGTCTTGCATCTTAGAGGGTGGCAGGACCTGCAGCCTCCATCTGCAGCTTTTCCTAACTGATGAAGTCTGGCAGGTCTGGGGTTTAATCCCTCCCCCTCAGTCTATATCTGCCAGCCAGTGTTCCTCCAGTGGGGCCAGGGGATTTCCTAGGAAATCTCAGGGCTGACTGAATCCTTCTCCTTGCTCTTTCTCTGAGAGAAGCCAGATTCGTATCCTGCTCTGTTACTAATGACTACAATTTTTGAGTGCTCACTATGTGACTACTCTTATTTAATTGTTCCAACAACCTAGTTAGTTTTTAGAAGTATTAGCCCAATTTTTGTAATGAAAAAAGAAAGGTGAAGTAGCCTGCCCGAAGTCCCACAGCTAGTAAGCTGCTGAGCTGGAACACAAGCACAGGCCTGTCACCAAAGACTGGCTTCCTAACTGCCCCATGGTGCTGCCTCCCAGCCAGAGCAGCCCAGTCACTCAGTGAGTTAGGACCCTCGTGCACCAGCACTGTGGGCAAGACAGATGGAGGCCCTGCCCTCATGGAGCTTATGTTCTGGAAGGCCTGCCCAGCAGTCCCACTAGATTCTAGACTCTAGAGCTTGTGAGGGCCCTGGGCCCGTGCACCTGTAGAGGGACAGGGAGGCTATAGGGGCTGGACCCTGCCTGGGCAATGACTGTCTCCCCTCCCTGTGCAGCCATCCGCTTTGGCCGGATGCCAGAGGCTGAGAAGAGGAAGCTGGTGGCAGGGCTGACGGCAAGTGAGGGGAGCCAGCACAATCCACAGGTGGCAGATCTGAAGGCCTTCTCCAAGCACATCTACAGCGCCTACCTGAAAAATTTCAACATGACCAAAAAGAAGGCCCGCAGCATCCTCACCGGCAAAGCCAGCCACACAGCGGTGAGTGTCACTGCTCAGCCTGGCAGTGTCCCAGGCTCTGGGCCCCTGCTGCTGCCTGCCTGACTCCTGGGAGAGTCAGGCCTCCTCTCTCCCCTAACTTCATGATACAGGCAGGGGGCGTTGGGAGCACATGGGTGGGGGTGCCCCGAGGCCTGGTCTCTGACCGGGCCTGGTTTTCAGCCCTTTGTGATCCACGACATCGAGACATTGTGGCAGGCAGAGAAGGGGCTGGTATGGAAGCAGCTCGTGAACAGCCTGCCGCCCTACAAGGAGATCAGCGTGCACGTCTTCTACCGCTGCCAGTGCACCACAGTGGAGACCGTGCGGGAGCTCACTGAGTTCGCCAAGAGCATCCCCAGCTTCAGCAACCTCTTCCTCAATGACCAGGTCACCCTTCTCAAGTACGGTGTGCATGAGGCCATCTTCGCCATGTTGGCCTCCATCGTCAACAAAGACGGGCTTCTGGTGGCCAATGGCAGTGGCTTTGTCACCCGTGAGTTCCTGCGCAGCCTCCGCAAGCCCTTCAGCGACATCATCGAGCCCAAGTTTGAGTTTGCTGTCAAGTTCAATGCCCTGGAACTTGATGACAGTGACCTGGCGCTATTCATTGCAGCCATCATTCTGTGTGGAGGTGAGTGAGGGTGGGGCAGCTAGGCTGTCCCCACACAGCCAGGCCTCCTGGGGGTTGGGCCCTCACTTCAGGGCATCACGCCTGAGTGATGATGGCAGAGAAACATGCAGGGCAGTAACGGTACGTGCAGGATCAGCTGCATCATATAGAGATGGAGATGGAGAAAAGCAATGAAAAGAACTATGCCATTGTGTTAATGGGAGTTATTTATGGGTGGTGGAGAAATTTTCTGTATTTTTTGTGCATTTTTCAAATTTCAGCATAATAAATACAATAGTAACCATGCTAGCTAACAGTGGCATAGAGTTTACTTCATGCCAGGCACTGTTCTAGTTCTTTTCCATAGATTTAACTCATTTGGTCCTCACAGCAACCCATTGTGGGAGGTACTTTATTATCCCCATTTTACAGGTGAGGAAACTGAAGCCCAGAGAGGCCAAGTGACCTGCCCGTAGTCTCATCAATAGTGTGTGGTAGAGATGGGATTTGAATCCAGGCGTTGAGTCTCTTAACCTAATCAGTAAAAAGAAACTATTGGCAAAAAAAAACAAAAGAGGTGGGCCAAGACCAAGGGTGGGGGATTAGAATACTCAGTGGAGCTGTTACTGACAGGACAGGGCTTGGTTCTCTCACCACTAAGGAGTCCTGCTGTTCCCCAGGCCAGGCCACCCCCAGGTTGAGCATAGGGGCGCTCCTCTGCCCTTCTGAGACCCCTTGTGTGCTCTGTGTCCTCACAGACCGGCCAGGCCTCATGAACGTACCACAGGTGGAGGCCATCCAGGACACTATCCTGCGTGCCCTGGAGTTCCACTTGCAGGCCAACCACCCCGATGCCCAGTACCTCTTCCCCAAGCTGCTGCAGAAGATGGCAGACCTGCGGCAGCTGGTCACTGAGCATGCCCAGATGATGCAGCGGATCAAGAAGACTGAGACCGAGACTTCACTGCACCCCCTGCTCCAAGAGATCTACAAGGACATGTACTGAGGGGCATGCTCAGGCTTCCTCCAAGGCTCCAGTGAGGACATTCTGGGAGGGGCCCCCACGTGACTCTTCCGTTGACCAGCCCATGAGCACACACCCAGGCAGCAGCTCCCTCCCTCGTGCTCTCAGACATGCAGCCTCCAGCTCCCTGTGTGCCCTTTATCCCTATTCTGCCTCCCCCCAGCTCTTTGTCTTTGACGTTTCTCTCTTCCTCAGCTCCTCTTTCTTTTCTAATTTCTCATGTTCTCTTTCTTCCTTTCTCTCTATAGGTGTCCCTCTTCCTTCCTCCCTTGCCCTCCTTTGCCCTCCCTTTCTCTCTCCATTTCCCCATGTCTGGCCCTCTTTCTTGTTCTGTGAGGCAGTTTGTGTTATTTCACCAGCAGCAAAGAACAGGACCACTGCTTCTGCCCACTCTTTCCCCACACCTGCAGGCTTAGAGGCCTCACCTCTGTCTCCTGTCTTAGAGCAAAGAAACACTAAGCTCTCCAGGCCTGGCTTCCCAGGGAAGCCGAGCATGGCCTGGACTGACTGCAGCAACAGCCTGGAGTCAGGGGGTCCCTGCTGTGAAGGACAGTGGGCAGGGGCCTGAGCTGAGAGCCAGATGCCTCCCCGAGATTCTCACCACCCCCTGAGGCTGGCTCCCCTGACCCAACCAACCCCACTGACCCCACTCCAGCAGCACATCCCAGCCCACTGACACCCAGCATCCTATTCTTCACACCAGTTTTCCAGGCCAAGGGCACTGATGGCCCCCGGCGCTGGCAGCTGGGGGCACCCTCCAGCCTGTAGGGAGGTGGAGTTCCCTTCAGAGGTAGGCCATGCCCCCATTGAAGAGAAGCCAGTCTCAAGGGAGGGAGGCAGGGTTGGTGGTTGGAGGGAACAATTGATTCTGACCCCAGGACTCGGAAGGCCAGGGAGAGCTTGGAACAAACCCTCCATCAGCACCCCACTCTCCCCGCATCCTGTAGCAGCTGCCTACATGGTGTCAGCACCCAGAGCCAGGGCCTAGCCTCAAACACGACTGCTCCTTTCTCTAGCCATGAGATGTTGGCACTGGCTCCAGCCCCCCCCCCCCCCCGGGGCTGCCACTCCAGCCTGTAGGGAGGTGGAGTTCCCTTCAGAGGTAGGCCATGCCCCCATTGAAGAGAAGCCAGTCTCAAGGGAGGGAGGCAGGGTTGGTGGTTGGAGGGAACAATTGATTCTGACCCCAGGACTCGGAAGGCCAGGGAGAGCTTGGAACAAACCCTCCATCAGCACCCCACTCTCCCCGCATCCTGTAGCAGCTGCCTACATGGTGTCAGCACCCAGAGCCAGGGCCTAGCCTCAAACACGACTGCTCCTTTCTCTAGCCATGAGATGTTGGCACTGGCTCCAGCCCCCCCCCCCCCCCGGAGCTGCCACTCCAGCACACACCGCAAGCACTGAAATCACTTTACCTGCAGGTTGTGGGCCCCTCATGCTCTCCTCCCCGAGGCAGGTGAGTGCCTAGCAACAGGCCTGCAGGTGGACAGGCAGAGCTGCACCTTGTTTCCAGTGCTGGGCCACATCCCTGGGTGGGCAGGAGTGTCCTGTTGAGTCAGCCCAGCACCCGCTCACAGCAGGAGCTGCTAGAGATAAACTGATCCTGTCCTGATGTCCATTTGTCCCAACAGCTCTGCTGCCCTTCCTTTCCCCTGTATTTGACTCAGCTGGTTACCTGGAACTCTCCCTGCACAGCCTCTGGTGACCAGGAACTTTGCCGGGCACAGTGCCACACTCCCGGCCCCTGCCCTCTGCTGCTTGCTGCTCGCGGGCGGAGGTCCACTCAGCTCAGAGGGGCTGAAGCAGTGTGAAGTGCCACATCTTAGCAGGAGGGCAGAGGGCCTGCGCATCCTGCCGGGGTGAGGGACTGGCTAGCGTCTCAGAGCAAGGTGGTGGGAGAGCTGGGGTTAGAGCCTAGGCTTCCTGGGTCCTCTCTGGTCCTCCTTCCCAAGAAGCCTTCCCATCTGACCGCAGCTCTGGGAGGACATGCCCTAGAGAGAGGAAAAGCCCAGTGTCTGCCCTGCCAGCGCTGTGGCCTTTTATGCCCTGGGGTCACTCTCTACAGACAAGGTTCTTCCCTCTCCCCTCCCACCTGACTGACCAGGGATTTGGCTGAGGGGTGCTCCCTTTTGGGCCAAGGCTATGAAGGGAGAGCTGCTGTGCCTGACTGACCCCCTCCCCACCATGTGCCCTGTCCCCACCCCCGACCCAGGTCTGGTGCTGAGGATACAGCTCTTCTCAGTGTCTGAACAATCTCCAAAATTGAAATGTATATTTTTGCTAGGAGCCCCAGCTTCCTGTGTTTTTTAATATAAATAGCTTAAAAAGACTCCTGGAACTTTAAATAAATGGGAATTAAATATTTAAGAGTTGACTTTAAGCTGACTCAGTTCTTTGCGTGTTTTTTGGGGGGCTGTTGGGACTCCTGCCTCTCCTCTTTATCCAGTGCACAGAGGGGAAGACATGGGCAGGCAAAGGAGGCTTTGGGATGGTGGCTGGGGAGGTCACATCTGGCTTGTGGTTGCTGGCGGTCTTTGCCGTCACCTTCTGCACTGCTCACCACTGTCAGTGAGCAGGGGCTTGTGGAAGACTGAGGAGATGCATCCCTGCCCTGCAGTGTGAGGGGGAGAAAGGGTGCACACGCTCTGGAAAGGCTGGCTGGTGCCGTGGCATGCACACAGGGTGGGCGGCGTGGGCCTCTGACAGGGACTTGGAAGTCCCCTGTAGGGAGCAGTGTGCCCTGGCCTTGAACTGTTTGTGGGACTCGAGACACCAAAGCCAGTTTACCATCCCCAGAAGAGATCAGAGCTTTCCTCAACCGACACCCCAGTTTTCTGACATGCTGCAGAAGGGAGTAGAAGTTGGTACAATTAACCTGAAAAACAATTTGACAAAGTCTAGTAAAGTTGATGCACTCTGCTACCCTGCATTTTCCTGTTGAAATGTGTGTGTGGGGCTGGCCCGTGGCTCACTCGGTAGAGTGCGGTGCTGATAACACCAAGGCCATGGGTTCGGATCCCATATAGGGATGGCCGGTTCGCTCACTGGGTGAGCGTGGTGCTGACAACACCAAGTTAAGGGTTAAGCTCCCCTTACCGGTCATCTTTAAAAAAAAAAATGTGTGTGTGGATGCTGTGGGGCACCACCAGGGTTCCACCTCTCAGGACCCAGGCACAAGTTTCCATGGCTGCTGTGAATTTCAGCTGCTAAGCTCACAGCTCAGGGCCTCTCAGAGCATTGCCTTTACCAAAGGGAGCTGCCTCATCCAAGGACATGCACACCTCATCCTCAGGGGCAGCCTGTGTCCAACACAGGAATATGAAGGCCAAGGCTTCTTGCCACAATTTGGGACAACCGGAAGGATCATCATAGCTCCGGAGCTGAGGCTTCTCATAACCACATTGCAGTTTAACTTCTCCCCCTGCCTAATTCTGCCTCCTTCAGTTCCTCCCAGGTATTGTTCCAAAGAGCATTCACTGGTAAGTGTTGTGCGAGTAAACCTCCAAATCTGTTTCCTGGAGAAGCCAACCTGAGACAATACCCAGGTGTGAAACCCACCAAATTACACCAAGATTCATATACATGTTCATCACAGCAATAGCAAAAACTTGAAAATAACAAAAATGTTCATCAATAGGAAATAAACTTAATATGTGTATACAATGTAAAAAAAAGGACTAGAAGAAACATGAAAAAAATGTTTATATAATCTCGGCATGGATAGACCTTTCTAGTACACAGGAAACTTAGAGTCTATAAGATGAAAGAAACGAGGTTGGCCAGCTAGCTCAGTTGGTTAGAGCACAGTGTTGGTAACACCAAGGTCAAGGGTTTGGATCCCTGTATTGGCCAGCTGCCAAAAAATAGAAAGTTCTAAAAAGTTTGCATCCCAGCCCCTGCTTTTGTAAGTATGTGAAAAGGAAGAACTGCGGGTGTTGGAGTTTTTTTTTTTTTTTAAAGATGACCGGTAAGGGGATCTTAACCCTTGACTTGGTGTTGTCAGCACCACGTTCTCCTGAGTGAGCCTTGGGCCTGGATGTTGGAGTTTTGGCTGGAGCTCCTCTCCTCCCTCTAGCTGTGACTTTTAACTGTGTAATAATGTACAGAGAGCATTGTCAGTGTTCTAAAACTCTGTGTGGCTGTGCAATTTCTGTACATTTGCAATTAGAAATATTAAAGATTTATTTAGCTATTTAAAAAAATGTTTTAAATTAAATGAAAATGTTTTGCTATATACACATTTTTTAAAATTCTGCCTGGAGAAACACCATAAAGAAAAAATTTTAAACCAACCATGTAAAAATTTTTGTGCCTAATTCAACAATTGGCTAATTTCCTTAATATATAAAGATAGATTACAAATCAATGAGTAAAAGATCAACCCAAAAGGAAAATGAGCAAAGGACATAAATGTAGAAAGAAATGCCTCTTAAACATATGAAAAGATGCTTAACCTCACTCATCATAAGAGAAATATAAACTAAAACTACAATGAGTTACTGGTTTTTTACTTGCCAAATTAATAAAATACCAAAAAGTTTGATAACATTGTGTTGGCAGGGGTGTGCAGATATAGGCACTCATACTGTTGGTGGGATTGTAAACTGGGACAGCCTCCATGGAGGGCATGTTGGCAGCACCTATAAAAATTTTTTAAAATAATTTTGACCCAGCAAAAGTAAAATACATTAACAAAAACATCCAGGACTATTGGTTTCCCAATCTAGTGTTTCAACCTACTGATAGACATAGGAAGTTGTCAAAATTCAATTTAAAAATGTCTCTTTTAACTTTTAAGTGAATTCCTCTTATTTGGTCTTTTTTAATTTTCCCAACTTATCTCCCACGTGGGACAGTGCAGTCTAGTGGAGAGAGCATGGGCTTTGGAGAAGTAAGATGATAATTGAGGGGGTCTTAGAAATGGTCAGGGTTGAAAGGACTCTTAGAGGTCATGGTCCCCTTTCCTTAACCTCCCCGTCTCCTCACACATATATTGTATAGAAACTGAGGCCAAGGGCCAGGAGTACCTTGTGTGAGGTCGCATCAGGTCTCCTGGCTGCCAGAGCATTGTTCTCTCCCTGCTGTAAGCTCTCACTGAGCTACTGCCAGGCATGACCTCATTTCAACCTCACAACGACTCTTATCAGAAAATCAGGCTTCCTGGCTGCAAGAACTTAAGACAACAGACTGTTTACCTGGGAAAGAGAGTTGTGATAGTATATTACCAGTTCTCAGAACCTTCAGGCAACCCAGTCACCAAACTTGGAGGCTCATCAGCCAGGAACAGTGTTCCCACCGGACTGCTCAGCATCTTCATTCCAGGGAAGAGGGGAGGAAACCCCAAGACCCACACTCCAACAGGGCCCAACCTCTGCTGGCTGCGCTGCTCTCAGGACCAGCTGTAGGTGACAGACTTGCTGAGACAGGGAATTTGCCTATCCCCCAGCCCCAGCTGGCCATCAGGGGTAGGGATACTGTGGCGAGGGTAAATCTACTCCCCGTTGCCTGGTCCAGTGGGTTTCTTGGGGCCGTGGATTTTCAGGAGTGCTTACCAACCCCAGCATTAGCCAGGCTCCAGGGAGTTGCAAGGATGAGGCATGCGGCATCTATGTGAGAACCCTATCAGAGGACCCATGGGGAGGTGGGCTTAGGGTCACTCCCAGGCCAGCGCCATAGGCCTCCTGGGGGGCAAGAATATAGGCTCAGGGTCACATAAGTTTCAGTCCCAGGCCAAGTGACCCATCTACTCTGAAGACAGAAGGAATTTATACCACCCATGAGAGGCTCTGATTGGCTGACTTGCTACAGTCCAATTTGGAGTGTCCTCATTGGACAGAGCCTCAGGCACGTCTCCTCCTGGCCATCTCTCATAGTGGTCCTTGCTGGGGCATTGACACTATTCTAACTTCTTGTGAACAGGATAGCAAGCTGGCTTCACTGACAAACCACAGACCAGACTACAATGGCTTTTTGTAGAAACAACATCATGGACCTGGAGGCAGGTCCTGGAGCCTCCTGTCCAGTATATGGCCAGTTTGGAACAGCCTCCCTGGACCCCAGGCCCACTCACACCATCGTCCAGCCTGTCCTCTGACCTCAGCTCCACATGTGGGGCTCTGGGGTTGTGGGGAGGCTCCTATCTGGCTGCCTCAGTTATAAATCCCACTCGGACAACACAAGTCACTTCTCCCGCCCCAGGACTCCCAGCCTCCTCAGTCTTTAGTCCTGGGTCCCAGGTCCTCATGGCCCCCTCCCAAGTCACCCTGCCTTCTTAGACCCTTAGAGTACTTAAACCATCCCCCAATTTCCTCCAGTAATCACCTAAAGATTCTCGAAGGCCTTCGTACTGCACCCCATTCCTGGAGCTCCCAGCCCCCTAGCCTCCACCCTCCATCCCTCCCACCAGCAGGCCTGGAGCAATGGGAAGGGGCAAGGCCTGGCCTCGAGCCCCTCCTCCCTTTGGCCCCACCCAGGGAGCGGGGGGGGGGGCGGGGGCAGGGGGGCGGCGGGTAAAGAAGCAACAGGGCAGCCCTGCTTGGTTCTCACTACAGCCT